CCCCAGCAGTAATTTTTGAAGAGACTTTTCTTCCCCCATTGAACTGTCTTGGGACCTTGTTGAAAGTCAGTTTATCACATTTGTGTGGGTTTATCTGGGGACTCTCGATTAATTCCCTCGGTCTATGGTCTCGTCTAGCCTTACGCCGGTACCACACTATTTTGATTATTGTAGCTTTGTGGTAAGTTTTGGAATGGAGAAGTTTGTGAGTCTTCCAACTTTATTTTTGTTTCTCGGGATTGTTTTGGCTATTCAGAGTCCCTTGCAATCCCATATGAATTTTAGGATCAGTTTTTCCATTTCTGCAAAATAGACCGTTGGGATTTGTATGTGCATGTGTGTACCATTTCGATTCCCCTCTCATTCCCTTTTGTTTATATTTTGTAGATATTTTCTTGGGGATTACAGTCATCTTAAATGTATAACAATTGTATTTCATCTGATACCAACTTGACTTCGTTACCATATAAAAACTCTGCAACGCAGTCCCGTCATTTTATGTTACCACAAATTACATCTGCATACATTGTGTGTCCGCTAACATAGATTTATAATTTTTTATGTGTTCATCTTTTAAATCATGTAGGAAATACAAAGAGGATACATACACGAAAAATACAATAATGCTGGCTTTTATATTTACCAGTGATATTTATTTGTTCTTATGTCTTCCAGTTACACTTTAGCGTCTTCTTGTTTTAGCCTGAAGGACTCCCTTTAACCTTCTTGTTAGGTATAGTGGCAGCAGTCTCCCTAAACTTGTGTTTATCTGGAGATGTCTCAATTTCTCCTTCATTTTGAAAGACCACTTTTCCAGGTGTAGAACTCTTGGTTAATGGTTATTCTCCTTTGGCTCTTTATATGCGTCATCCCGCTGCCTTCTGGCCTCCATGGTTTCTGATGAGAAATCAGTTGTTAATCGTGTTGAAGATCATTTGTATGTGATGAGTTGGTCCCTTTTGCTGCTTTCAAGGTTCTCCATCTTTGCATTTCACAGTTTGATTATGATGCATCTCAGTGTGGGTTTCCTTGAGTTTGTCTTAGTTGGACTTTGTTGAACTTGTTGGATGTGTAGATTCATGCCTTTTATCAGATTGGGACATTTTTAACCACCGCATCTTCAAATATCCTTTCTGACCCCTTTCCCCTCTTTTCCTGGGACTCTCGTTATGTGTGTGGATTGGTCCACTTGGTGGTGTCCCATAAGTCCCTTAGCCTTTGTTCATCGATATCTTTTTTCATTCTTTTTTCTTTCCACCTCTCAGCCTGGATAGTTTTATTTGAACTCTCTCTAAGTTCACTGATTCTTCTGTCTGCTAACATCTGTCGTGGAACCCCTCTAGTGAATTTTTTTGTTTCAGTTATTACACTTTTCAGCTCCAGATTTATATTTGGCTCCTTTTACTAATTTGTATCTCTGTTGATCTTCACTTACCAGAACATCGTTCTCCTGGTTTCCTTTAGTTCTTTGTCCATGATTTCCTTTAGCTCTTTGAGCATGTTTAAGACAATTGATTTAAAGTCTTGTCTAGTAAGGCCGCCATCTGGTTTCTCAGGGGCACTTTCTTTTACATTTCCTTTGTACATGTGGGTGGGCTATACTTTGTTTCTTTGCATGTTTTGTACTTCTCTTGTTGAAAATTGGACATGTTGAATGATATGAATGTGCACAGAAGAAGAAAGAAAAGAAAGGAAAAAAGTATTCTGTGGGTCTTTGCCGATTAGCTCTGCGTTGGGACACTCCTTACCCAGGCCACTTATAGCTCTGCTGGAGTCCTCACCTCCTGCCTTTGCGGGGCAGAGAGCCTAGCCAGAGGTGAAAGTTATATTCTTGTCAAGTCTTTTGTGGGCGTGCCCTTCCCTGAACGTGAAGGTGGCTCTCAAGCTTTCTTCATATGTTGCAATAGCTTTTCAAAGACCTCCCCCCCACCCCCCCCC